TTTAGATAACTTTAAAGATTTTTATAAGTAATTTTTATTAACATTACATTCTTTGTATCTAATTTTATACAAATAGAAAGATTTAAACAATTGATATTGCTCCAATTTGTATATTAAAGTATATACAAAGCAAGCATTATCAAGCAAATAGTTGCATATTTTGGTACATTTCATAAGTATTTGTTAACTTTTACTTTTAATTAAGTCAATTATCATAAATGATTAAGTTTTCTTTTTATATTTAATATTTATTCTTTATAATAAATCTTTTAATGTGTGCTCTGTCTTCAGAAATGATTTACAGGAAATATTGTAATATAATCTTTAGTATGTTTTAAATTTTTTATTTAATTTTATTTTATACATCGTTATCTTAACGGTAGGATACCCATCTGCAGTCATCAAAGAAGACTAAAAGTAAGTTTATCTTTCTATCAAACATTTCTTGATTATAACTTCAATGATTTTTTATTACGACGACGACATTAATTGTTTTTTTTCTTTTTCTGTTTCAGAAAATCATTGCAATCGTGCGCGTAGGCAATGAGGTACTCGTGTGTTGTATCGTTAAAATAAAATATGAAAAAGCCGAAAGGTAGAGTCAGTGTTGATCGTCGCATGTTAAAGTTTCGTTTGCTCAGATCAGAAACTCGTAAGTTTCTTGTGTTTTTGGTTTAAAAAGTTTTATTCACCATCATTCTAAGGGTAGGAGACGCATCGTGCATTCATCGATGAAAATTCAAAATAAGTATATTTTTTTATTCAATAATTCCAGCAAAATTTCTATCGTTTTCAATAATAGTAATGATATTAATAGTATTATTTTTTATTTCTGTTTCAGATTGCAATCGTGCACGGAGCAATATACGAGAGTGTTGTACCGTTTAAATATAATATAAAATCACGGATTAGAAGCACGTTCGTTCGTTAATTTTAATTCCATCACGTTTCGCGAACTATTTTTATATATATTAAATTATTAAATTGTATATATTAAATTAACTGCGACCAATGCAGTTATTGTATTACAGTTTGTTCGAATAAAGTTGTATTTTTATATAAAACAGTCGTACAGACTGTTCGCATATTAAAGTCAGTGCATCAGTGCATCAGTGAAGATTGAAAATTGTTTGTTTCAATTGACTGTGTGCAAAGCAATCTTTGAATTAGTTATAGAATCAGTGATCGGACGAGTAATAAATTAAAATCGTACGGGAATTATATATAGAGTCAGTGTTGTTCGCCGCATAATCTAATTTCGATTTCGTGATAAGAAACTGATCTTCAGTTTCTTATTCCCGTTTATACCGCGTTATAAGATTCACGCGAGGTGCATCGCCATGGTGCAATTGAACTCCATCCCATTGGAATGCATTGTAAGTATTCATTTTTATTTACATTTTATTCGATTTTATTTGATATGATTTTTGATTATATTGTTAATAACTTATCGTTATGTTCTATTTTATGTTACAGATAAGATGACAGATAATCTTCTTTTTCGGAAGTATGAAATGAATTCTTCGATGGATGTTCTTCAAATCGAGAAACTTTCCGATCTTTAGACTGCTACACTTGCTACGAAGTAGGAGTGTTTTAGAGTTATCGTAGAACTTCTTAAGTCGTGAGTAAAAATTTAAATTTCTTTTGTTCTCAATCATGTCGAGGATGAAAGGTCCAATCGGCACGGTTACTGGTTGTAATTATTTAAATAAATTATTGACGAGCACATGAGTAATTTCTTTTTAGGAGTTACACATGAAAATAGTATATTGTATTGTATGTTTTATTATTAGTTCAGGATAGTTTTTCTTGTCTCACCGGTTAAATTCAATTCGCAATTAATTAATGCACTTTATTTTTTATGTAATATAATAAATTAATAACGAATTAATGAAATGAAGGTAGTGCAAAAAAATGCATTACATTTATTTTACTATTTATTTTAATTCGACTTTACTACTCGACGTTAAAAGTGCGAAGTGTTATTAGGTCATCGATGGAAAATATTATCTGCTTGGACATTCGATTAAATGTGCTCGCGTATGAATTTGTAATTTATTGATGGTTCACGAACTACGTTTTCTAACGGGAATTGTAAATTAATTTTTGTAATAATTAATAAATAGAATCATAAGAGTAAAATCGGAGATATTTGAAAAATACATATGGTAGAAAATAAATGAAAATATTTTATAGATATTGTAATATGAAATGTATTTCGTTTATGTTAGTATTATGAGCAATTAAGAGTAATTGTTCAAAAATGTCTAAGTTATTCGAAATTGTAGTATCATAATCTGGTATATTACAGCGACATTATATTAGAGTAGAATCGATACTTTACATAACGAACAATCTTCCTTTCGGCAAAGAGACATTTTTCGACCAAAGTGTAGTATTGGGTTGTTGGGAAAGTAATTTCGTTTTTTTTTGTGTGAAAATGAAAGACAATTTTCGTATAATGAACAAATATTTTATTAAATTATATATTGGCCATTCTGGTCCAATACCTTTTGCCATCTTTCTGGTAGTAGCATGATTCCACGCTCATAAAAGTTTTGGTCTTTGCTGGCAAAAAACTGATCGAGGTGGTTTCTGACCTCCTCATTTGAAGTGAAGGTTTTACCGTCTAAAAAATTTTGCAGTGACCGGAACAAATAATAATCCAAAGGTGCCAGATCTGGAGAATATGGTGAGTGTGGCATTGTATCCCATTCAAGCTGTAAAAGCTTTTGGCGAGTGACCAAACTTGTATGAGGTCTCGCTTGGTGGAACACTACATATTTTCTGTTGATTAATTCTGGCCTTTTCTGTTGAAGTGCATCATTCAGTTTGTCCAGCTGATGACAGTAGACTTCTGAATTAATTGTTGTGTTATCGGGTAAAAGCTCAAAAAAAACGATTCCTTTAAAATCCCACCAAACAGACAGTATTACCTTTTTTTGATGGATATTGGCTTTTGAAATGCTTTGAATCGGTTCATCTTTTTTGCTCCATGATCTCTTGTGTTTGACATTATTATATACAACCCATATTTCGTCTCCAGTAATAATGTGTTTCAAAAGTGGCATCTTTGTGACGTTTGTGAAGTGAATTACAGACGTCAACATGGACGACGCAAATTTATCTCCGTGAGAACATGGGGAACCCATATATCGAGCTTCGAGGTTAAGCCCAGGCCTTTCAAGTGGTCATAAATAGTTAAATTTGATAAATTTAATCTCTCACCGATCTCACATATTGTTATTCGCCGGTTTACATCAATTAATGCCTTTATCGTGTCTTTATCAGCTTCAACCGGCCTTCCAGAACGTGGTGCATCTTCGACATTAAAATTGCCGGATCGAAATTTTGCAAACCAGTTCTGGCACTGGCGTACTGTCAACACATCTTTTCCATACACATCGGTTAATTTCTTTCTGGCTTAAACAGCATTTTTACCTTTTCTATAGTAAAAAAGTAAAATATGACGAAAATGGTGCTTATTGCTCTCTATATTTAAAAGGGCACCAACCAAAAACTACTGCGTAGAATCTTTTCACGTAGGACTTTTTCACATACAAGCCTTGCTATATCAGCTCCCAAAACATATAATGATTATACGGCTTAAATGTGAAGTTGGGTGCAAAAAAATACAAGTAAATCCTCTGTCGGGAAAAAACGAAATTACTTTCCAAACAACCCAATAATTATTTTCTATGTAAAAAGCTTAAGATGTTTACTAATGAAACTTTTTTTTTAGGATTGTTAGGTTTGTTTAGGGTTGTGTTAAGTTTCGTCTCTTTCTATATTTTAAAATCAAAGACCATTCTATAATTATGTATCATTAACTGTTGTAATATGCCAAATTCTAATAGTACACTTTTTGAATGATTGACGTTTTTTATCAGAGACTCTTATCTTGCTCACACGTAGAACATGCCTGAATGCAGTTTTCAATCCTCCGTGTTTCAAGCCATGAAGAAAAGAAGAGGCTTAATGCCGAAGAAGCCCTCACTTAATTGTAGCTCAAGAGGGCAACTTCAAGATATTGAGTTATTTTCAAAGGTTCAACAACATGTTCGAACTTTTCAAGAATGGCCCTTTAATCATATTTTATATCTCATTATATTATTATATTGTTTGTCAATAATTTTTTATAGGTATTGCAAGTTCAGATTGCTTAATAAAGGGCTGTGATAATATATGGAAATTAGGAAGGATGGCTATACTAGTAATAATATAACACTCGTGATTATATACTCCTCTAAGATGTAGTTGCAGCTTTATTATTATGTCTTATATTTATTATGTCTCGTACAAAGCTATATCCCAGTGAACACAATTACGTCAAAATGACGTCAAAATGATTTTGCACTATGTCAGGATTTATGTAAGGTATAAGTCAGATATGAGTCACATGTGACTCATTATTTCACACTTATTGACTAAGACTTTTACGTAATAAATATGACGTACGTATGATTTCCAGTTGACATCATTATTACCTAACTGACGTTAAGCTGACATAGTAATGAGGTTCCGAATGATTGTAATCATATGTAATGATAGAAGTATAACATTAAATTATTCGAGAAAATATTTATTGATACTCAACTTTRACAAWATTTYGTAAAAACGACTTGCTACAATTATTTTATTAAACATAAGATCACATTAACTTATTTAAATTAAAGTGAACTACTACTGGATTTCAAATTATTTCTTATTATTCAGAGTAGTTACTGTTTCAAATTTACTAAAATTAACCAATATTATTCGAAATTCTAGAGTTGAAAATTTTACTCATTCATATTTCCATTATATTTAAACAAAATTAATATTCTTTTTTTCTTACTGTAATCTTTACAAACCAAAAAGTGAAAATATTAGCAATAAAAAGTATAAACATATATTCTTAAATTAGTTGTACCAWTACTAAGTAAATTATTATTTTCACTTTTTAGATTGAAGATAGATAAGTAAACTTTTTATTGATAAAGTATTGCACACATTTTTAAATGAAGTCATTAATTATTTTTATAAGAAAAAATAAATAATATTTTTTGTTCTTTAGAGTAATCATCACAATCCAAAAAGTGAAAATTTTAACAATTATAAGTTTAAATATAAGATTTTTCAATCAGTCATACTAATACTGAGTAAAATATTATTTTCACTTTTTAGATTGTATACTAGTATAAATCTTACATTAATTGAATATTGGGTGAATTCACTTGAATTCACTTACTCAGGAAACTCGTCAGTACTCTTCTTCTTTGGTATTGCTATTGTTTGGTGGCTTAGATTTCTTTTCAACTTGTTTTGGTTGTTTACCTGCTCTCTGATTTCCTAATCGAAACCAATTCATTCCAGCTTTAGCAAATTCAGCACTGTCCCAATTATTAAATTTCTTCAATATTACCTCTGGAAAATAATTTTTGATTGTATTAACATGAATATTTGTTTTCAGTCAAGTGTTAATTTTATTTATGCATTCAATCTTTTTAACCTTCGCAAATGATAATTAAGTTCAACTTATTGATTTTAAACTTTGTCACCTTGCCTTCCCAAGTATTATCAGTAGCAAATAATTGCGAGAATATAGCATTAAGTACTCTCTCCGTGTAATCTTTACCATTTGCTCCTCCAATCTGATTAATAAACCTAACTTGCGTAAATTTTTATTTATTATTAATATTCAATACAAAAATTAATCAGCTAAAAATCAGTTTAGAAATCTCATTTTTGTTTCATTTTATCATTTTATATAAATTAGCATCACAATTTTGCTTAAGGGGACGTTCCACCTTGCAATTTTTAAAAAATTGAATTTTTTTTTTTTTACATTTTTCGAATGTATATATATGTAGAAATATTGTGTTAAAATTTCAAAAAGATCCGATGTCTCTAACTACATTTTTTTGCTGCTTGAACGTTACTATCTCGGACCGCTCTACTGAGCGTTCGGCGCGCACGGTTCTTATATCGGCTACGGAGACTCCAAGACTTTTAAAATGCTGCTTTATTATCATCCATACGGTGAAGATTTCATTGTTAAAAAGTTGAAGTGTATTTTGCATGTGGCAAAACGTATTTTTAAGCGCGCTAATAAGGCAAGAAAAGCTCTCATACAAAAGAAGAAAATTTAAAAGAAAAACGCCGAATCGCAAAAAAAAAAAAAATAAGAACCGTAGCAAAAACAGTAGTGAAGAGAAAAACGACTATTGTGAAAAAAGTTCCTGAAGTAAAAACTAAAAATTTACAATCAAATTGATGAAAGAACTCTCAGAGATCTACGGTTTAGCAGTCAGAAGAAATTTGAATTCTTCATAGGATATGCGTAACGAAATTTGGGCAGGATACTACCACAAAATTTCGACTGATGCCAAGCCGAAGCATTCTAAGTGTTCCATCGACTGGTGAAAGTACCTCRAATCTAAGGCACATGGCACCTAAACACATGTTTAACGGCAAAAAAGTTGTTGAAATTGCGTGCAAAGTTTCGGCATGTATCTTCAACGAAGGATTTCGAACAGTGATGAAGATAATGGAAACGATGGGCATAAAACTTGGGCCAGGAGCGATCGACTTTGCTAAAAGACGCGACGACCGACGTATCGAATCTGCGAACCGTCGAAGCTCTGAGTGCTCAAAAGATGCCAGATCAAAGTGGAAGAAGGCAAGACTGGAAGAAATTGAAGAATATGAACAAGAAGAAGGTATTTTGTACAGTCCAGGCATCGCAGATTAAGTTTAGGTAAGAATTTTCACGATTTTGAGTTAAAAAATCTTTAAACACGTTTTTCTCGAAACTACGTTTTGAAATACTAGCTCCATCGTATCTCACGAACCAGTAAGCCGATTCTTATAAAATTTAATCCACATATTCTACACATGAGCTGTAACAAAGTCTAAACTAACTAAATCTTTTCTTAATTTTAATTTTTACTATTTATTTTTAGTCAAAAACAACAAAAAAAAGGTCATTTTAACGTTTTTTTTGTAATTTGTCCACTATTTGTATGTTGAATTAACAACAACAGCAGTAGATCGCTTCGATCTAAATCCTCTTTCTAATGGTTTTTCGGTCGTTGACTCATAGTCCGAATCTTCGGCAGCTTTTCTTGCTGCAGTCAGAGTATCTAAATAGAAATGATTATAATAATTATGCCATTATCCATTATTACGTAATTATTTTGTAATTTTTAATTAGCAGGTCTAAAAATTTTATTACATACCACAATATCTTAAAATGTTAATTTCATAAATAGGCCAATCATCATTTGGTTCGACTCTATGTTTTAACAATTGCTGTAGATTTTTAACAAAAGATGGTGGCCATTGACACTTTGTCCTTTTTCTTTTAGGTTATCGCAATTCAGAAGCGAATTGCTTGGAATTTCAGAATACGAATCTTGTTTAATAAAATAAACTACTGCATATGGTTTTGCCATAGTCTTGTTCACTATAAAAACGTAAATATTTTTTTAAAAATCACTTTGCATTACTCAGAACACCAGAAATTTATTTAAAATTGAAATATCTTTAATATTACAGCCTGTATTATTTTTAATAATACAGACAAAATTAACAATGGGATTATTTTTCAACATTAAATAATAAGATAATATGAAAAATGTGTTTTTACTAGATAAAAATTGCAGTGTTGTGTGTGAGTCAAAAACAAACTCTGTTTGTGGCGTAATGTTGCTCATAGAGATATTACAGATAGAGGAAACAAACCATAGGCGGTTGTGTAAGTGGAAATGTCTCTGCATGAATATAGCAGCAAAAAACGAAAAGTTGATGTTGTCTCTTTCTAACTAATGCGGTACATACATATATATATATATATATATATATCACATATTATAACGCAAGAAAGAACAAAAGACTCGCAAGTTAGAGAGAGACAATATCAACCTTCCTATCTTCTATCTCTTTTTATTTCGCCGACAGGTTTTATGCTATATTATAACTGCTATATGTATATATTATAACATTATATTTATAATTATACCACAAGGCTTCATATATATGTGAGAGTGGACTAGTGTACATTTAATTGTTTTAAATTTATAATTGCATCCAGTGAAGCCAGATCGCGGAACATTGTTACCCCTTCTCTTGAGCCTAGCACACCTCGCAACAACAAAATTTACGTGTCGCGGTGTGTCGGAAAAACGAAAGAAGCCGAGGGAAGCCGAAAAAGCATCGCGATAGAGGAGAAATAATACCCCCACCACGCGCCGCGGAGAAATACATGGACACAAACACATTTGAACAATGTGTAAAACAATGTGTATTATTTCTCCATGGCGCGTGGTGGGGGTATTATTTCTCCTCTGTCGCGCAGCTATCTCGGCTTCCCTCGGCTTCTTTCGTTTTTCCGACAACCAGCGATCCCATTCGTACGATAATTTGAAGCCTCGTACGGTCCAATTTTGAATTTAGAAAACTTGATGACTTTTTTTTTTTTAGTCATCAAATTTTGCAAACGGGTAAGTTAGGGTTCAACTAGTGATTTTCGATTTTCGATGTTCTGATTTTGATTCGAAATCTGGAGAACCATCACTGTACGATCAGTGTACGATCTCTGTACGATCTGGTCTTTCTCCCTGCCGTGCGCCGTATTTACCGTTTTTACGATAGGTCATCAACTTACAACTTTTTTTTTATGATTTGGTGGTCTTCCAGTGGACTTATCGAACCGCCGAAAAAAAAGGTCATCAACTTTGAAAAAGTTGGAACTTGGACAATTTTTTCAGATTTTGAAAATCCAATCCGACAAATTGTACAAATTCAAAATTTTTCCTGTGCGTACGATAATTTTCCCGTATGTACTAGGGATCCTGTAGAAGGGATGCGCCATGTACATTGTTGGGGGACCGGAACTCGATTTTGCGCGCGAATGATTCAAACATTGAAATAATTATGAAATAATGAATTGCATCAAATACAGAAAAAAAATGAACTATATTTAATAATAATTAAAAATTTATATTAAAATAGAATAGGTTACACAAAAAAATTATTATAAATTCAATAAGAAAGACTTAATTAAGTTTGATTTGATAAAAGGCATTACAGTATTTTGAAATTTCAAAACAATTTGTAGGAATTTATACAATTTTGATAAATATAATTATTTACTATATATATTATATTAATAATAATAATAATAATAAGACATATATAAAACAATTAAAAAATAGATTTATTTTAACATATTTTTATTTCTCAATGTGGTATATGGTCATAGTTTTACTCGAACTGAGATTTGTTTGCTTAAAATTTTGTAAATTTTTGCGATTATACTTACGCGCAGTGATCCTATTCGTACGATAATTATCGTACGCGTCACATAATTTGAAGCATTGTACGATCCAAAATTTAGCTTGTACGATCCAAAATT